CCTGCTGATCACAGATAAGCCACATCCTTTCTGCAAGGTCCAAAACATCTCGTGACACCACATCCAGGGAAGATGCCTCTGCTTTGTATAGCATTCACAGTTCAAGTTTTAGTTAATCGAGGTGCAGAAGACAGCATGCTTTGTGGGGATGCCGGTCTGTGATACTGTAAGGGAACCCCATGTTCTGCTTTTTCTTTTCTAGCAGTAGCAGGAGTAAAGCAGAGGTGGCTCCTGTCCTTCTTCTATTTAGCTGGAATCTCTCGCTTATTCTCCCCATTCCCTCTGCCTGTATAGGTTAGGTCTGGAGTAGTCCAGCAGAAGGTAAAAAGCATGTCTCAGACTCAGTAATGAGCCCACCAAGAGGACATGGCAGGGAAATTTGGTAGCTGCAGGAAATTCCTGCCATTGTCAGAGGGCAATCAGCACCCCGTAAACCCCATAAACTTCACAGCTCGCCTCTTGCTTCAGCAAACCTTGATGCTGGGCCAGGAGCAGATGAAGAGACAGCACGAGTTTCAACCCCTTTGCCCAGCGTGTGACTGCCGTGATAGCTGGGGCCCGCTGTTGTAGCAATAGCCACATCTGCTCCTCTGCGGCAGCTCTGCATCCCGACTCCTGAGAAATTCTTGGCAAGCTGCTTTGTGAAATACAGCATGTGGGAGCTGTTTTTATTCTCAGTCTTCTATGCAAGAGGTTACTGTGAGTAGTTCTGTGCTTTAGTACAGAGAAATGGAGCTGTATTCTCCAGAACAAGTCCTTTTTTATTACACTCAGTTTGAATAGCAATTGAGCCTCTAATCGTGTCTCCAATGGAAAGAAGACTCCTTGTGAAGTCTTTCCTTTGCTGCAGAGAATGGATTTTCACATGTGTGAAGCCAGATTACGAAAAAACCTCCACAAAATAACAAAATGAGCTACCAAGAATGTGTATATGTCCAGTGGGTGTTCACAGTGGCCTAGAAGAGGTTAAGTGGAAGTGTCTTTGTAAAAGGAAGCAGAAGAGCTGACTGTGAAACTAAAAGGCATCTTACGTCAAAGGAATACTTACGTTACTGCAGTCCTCTTCATTTGGAGCTTGCCGATTGCACTGATGTGGCAGTATAATCATTTTGTTTCCTTTTTCTCCCTTCTGGGAGGTTTCTAAGACAGTATTTTAGAAAGAAAAATAAATAACGTCTAATGTCTTTTCAGTTGTTCTTCTGGGAAGACTTGTGGTGAGTTAAAAGAAAACACTCAGTGAAGCTGTGAATGGGAGACATTTCCAGGGTGGGTGTGTCTTGTGGTTTGTTTGGGTTTTTATAATACTCTACTCCTATTTTTTTAAAAATAGTTTTCATATGCTTTTAATACAGTGGAAACTGAATTAAGAAATGCCCCCCTGTTTCACCAGTTATGGGACCTTTGCAGGGTGATGTGTTACAGGACTATGAGCGCCTTTGCAGATGCACCCTTCAGACAGTTCTGCTGGAAGGAAGCAGTGGTCCCACTCTAGTCCTGCAGCCTTTGCTTGGGCAAATCCACAGCAAGGATTTTTCAGCAGGCTCTTGTCTCTCCTTTTGCTAATGGATTCGTATATGAAATGGACTTGTAACCTTTAAGTGACCGCACCTCACCTTTTGAGATTGCTATTTCCAGAATGTCAGAGTTCCCAGCAGGGACTGAGGAGAGTGCCATGCTGATTACAGTCTTGTGGGCAATGTCCTCTTTTCCCCAAACGCCTTTGGTGTTTGGATGTTCCGTAGCTTGCTCCCTTTCTGCCCCATGCTGAGCAGCCCCACCTCACATCACCGGTAGGACTTGTTCCTAGAGCCTTATGCCGCAAAGTGAAAAACCAACACCTAGAGGCAAATCCGTACTTGGTGAAATCAGTGATGTGTTTGCACAACTTCCTTCAACCTGTTTTAAATGAAATACTCCCAGTCCTGCAGAGCTGAGGTGTTTTATGAAAGGCTACATGTCTCCTCTCTGATGGATACACTGCATTAAACCAGCTGCCAAAACTAAGCAGCCAAGGGCACAACTGTTTTTTCCTCAATAAAGCTGCATGAGATGAGCCAGGGTTGTCCTCCCTCCCCGTGTTGGAAGCACAGTGCTGAGAGCAGCAGAAAGCGGAGAGCCAGGCTGCAAGGCAGCGGAGACGCTCTGTGGCTGTGGGGAGCCTCAGGCCCCGGTGGCAGCGTGGCAAAACCACGCAGAGCAGGCAGGGAATAGCAGGGAGAGAGTCGTCCCAAAGCTCAGCAGCAGGGTTCATATTTCTGAACCCATTCATAGAAAGCGATGTAAAACCCTTCGGACTGCTCCAACCAGCACCTGTCAGGGCCGTTCCTGCGCTGCCTTGAACTGCTTTTATTTTATGTGCCAGGCTTGACTTCATCAGAGTGGAGGGTGCGATGCGGGCACATTTCAGGACAGGCTTAAAACCGTCTGCAGTTTGGAAACTGGCAAGGTCCCCCCGGAGCGGGTGTTAGACCCAGGGAGTGCTGATCTGTTTCCTGCCTTTGTTATGATTTCTGCCCTGTAACCCAATCTCGCCCGCGAACCAGCCCGAGCCCAGCCCAGCTGTGTCAGCAGGGCACAGGCCACCGCCACCGCTCACGTCGGCACAGCCGGCCTCCGAAATCCCGGCGGCGAGTGCAGTAATTTGCATCTTAAGCCATGCTGGGTCTGCCCCAAAATTGGTGGGCGCTCGCTGCCTTCACCCACGTGCTCGGGAAAGCAGAGCAGGAAAGAGGAGAGTGGGTGGTGAAGCGGCTGCTTACCAGTCAGCTGCAGTTGCGTGCTGGTCTGAATCAGAGAATCAGAGAATCATAGAGTGGTCAGGGTTGGAAGGGACCTCTGTGGGTCATCTAGTCCAACCCCCCTGCTGAAGCAGGGTCACCTACAGCAGGCTGCGTAGGACCATGTCCAGGCGGGTCTTGAATATCTCCAGAGAAGGAGAATCCACAACCTCCCTGGGCAGCCTGTTCCAGATCTCTGTCACCCTCAAAGTTCTTCCTCATGTTCAGCTGGAACGTCCTATGCTTCAGTTTGTGCCTGTTGCACCTTGTCGTGTCACTGGGCACCACTGAAAGTGTTTGGCTTCATCCTCTTGACACCCGCCTTTAAGGTATTTATAGGCATTTATAAGCTTCCCCTCTCAGCCTTCTCTTCCTCTCGTCGTAGGAGGGATGTTCCAGTCCCCTCATCATCCTCGTAGCCCTCCACTGGACTCTCTACAGTAGCTCCTCATCTTTCTTGCACTGGGGAGCACACAACTGGACACAGTACTGCAGATGGGGCCTCACTAGGGCAGCGTAGAGGGGAAGGAGAACCTCCCTCGACCTGCTGGCCACACTCTTCTTGATGCACCCCAGGATCCCATTGGCCTTCTTGGCAGCCAGGGCACACTGCTGGCTCATGGTGAACTTGTAATCCCCCAGCACACCCAGGTCCCTCTCCACAGAGCTGCTCTCCAGCAGGCCAGGCCCGAGCCTGTACTGGTGCATTGGGTTGTTCCTCCCCAGGGGCAGGACCCTGCACTTGCCCTTGTTGAACATCATCAGGTTCCTCTCTGCCCAACTCTCCAGCCTGTCCAGGTCACGCTGAATGGCAGCACAGCCTGCTAGTGTAGCCACCACTCCTCCCAGTATGGTGTCATCAGCAAACCTGCTGAGGGTACACTCTAACTCTTCATCCAGGTCATTGATGAAGAAGTTGAATAAGACTGGGCCTAGTACTGACCCCTGGGGGACACCACTAGTTACCGGCCTCCACCTAGACTCAGTGCCGCTGATGACAACCCTCTGAGCTCTGCCATTCAGCCAGTTCTCGATCCACCTCACTGACCACTCATCTAGCCCAGTGTGGAAGGGATGTATAGGGCTATAAGCATAACTTACTGCTTTTTACGTGGGTCCCCACATGGCCCTTTGGGAAAATCCCATAGAAAATGTGTATGGCATTTAAGCCTCTGGGTGGGGACCATTTTTTCCATGTTGACCTCCAAGGCTTTTAAAAGACTTCATGTTCTTAAAGAAAGAAGAGGATTACCCGCATGTTTTCACACATTTTTAGCACAGCACAGTCTATGTTGTCTTGCAAATGCAAACGAATGAAATGGCATGCGGTGCAGTGAGAGCAGGGAGGGAGAACTGTGCCATGACCGGCCACTGCTCGCACTCAGCACAGCCCTGTGGTTTTTCACCTCCCACTCTTGGGGACAGCTGGGCCCTATGTGTACATCAGTTACCCGCCTGCAAGAAGGGCCACCATCACCTTGAACCCCACCGCTGCTCAATAGTCGAGTTCAACCAGCATCTGGCTTGCTTCCCTTCCCCAGGAGTGGCAGCCCGATGAGGAGGAGTGCTGCGAGGAAGTTGGGCAGAGAGGAACCTGATGAGGTTCAACAAAGGCAAATGCAGGGTCCTGCACCTGGGGAGGAATAACCCCATGCACCAGTACAGGCTTGGGGTGGACCTGCTGGAGAGCAGCTCTGCCGAGAGGGACCTGGGCGTCATAGTGGATGACAGGTTAACCATGAGCCAGCAGTGTGCCCGGGCTGCCAAGAAAGCCAATGGGATCCTGGGGTGCATCAAGAAGAGTGTGGCCAGCAGGACGAGGGAGGTTCTCCTTCCCCTCTACACTGCCCTGGTGAGGCCTCATCTGGAGTACTGTGTCCAGTTCTGGGCTCCCCAGTTCAAGAAAGATGAAGAGCTACTGGAGAGAGTCCAGCGGAGGGCTACAAGGATGGTGAGGGGACTGGAGCATCTCCACTACGAGGAGAGGTTGAGGGAACTGGGCTTGTTCAGCCTGAAGAAGAGAAGGCTGCGAGGGGACCTTATAAATGCCTACAAATATCTGAAGGGTGGGTGTCAGGAGGATGAGGCCAAGCTCTTTTCAGTGGTGCCCAGCGACAGGACAAGGGGCAATGGGCACAAACTGAGGCACAGGAAGTTCCGTCTGAACATGAGGAAGAACTTCTTCCCTCTGAGGGTGACAGAGCACTGGAACAGGCTGCCCAGGGAGGTTGTGGAGTCTCCTTCTCTGGAGATATTCAAGACCCGCCTGGACAAGGTCCTGTGCAGCCTGCTGTAGGTGACCCTGCTTCGGCAGGAGGGTTGGACTAGATGACCCACAGAGGTCCCTTCCAACCCCTACCATTCTGTGATTCTGTGATTCTGAGGAAAAGCCTGGTTGCTGCCAGAATAAAGGCAGCTGCATCATTCTGGGGAGAGGGATGGGGCGGGGGTGGATGGCATGGTCCCCCTCGCTCTGTGGGTCCAGGCCCCATGGCAGACATGCTGCGTCGTGCCTGGGAGTCCTCACGTGCAGGTGGGTAACATGGGGTGATGCGCGGCAAGGAAGGCTCATCTTCTCATTTTGTTTCTTTTCTCCTCTTTCTTGCGAGACTGTTGTGAGCTGGCCCTGCCATCTGATTCTCTTTTGATCTTTTTCTAGCACAGCCTATGTGATTTTTAAAGCATTTCACTGCCAGAGCTGACCACTACTAAGAGACAGAAAAAGCAGTCAGCAAACTTCCCTGTCTAAAAATGCACTGGTTTAAAGCTTCGCAGATTACATTGCTTGGTTTTCAACCAGCTCGTAAGGTCGTTGCCTGCAGAGTTCCAGTAAATTAGACATTTAAGTCAAAGTGGATTCTTTGAAATATTTGAACAGTGGTGTGAGGAAGATTTTGGTGAAAGACAGAGGTGGGAGGAGGATGATCTGTAATTTATTTGCAGCTCTGCCTGGTGCAGATGAGATACAGCAGACCATGGTTCTCTTCAGATTACGGTTTCTTATGAGGATTTGGGATTTTCCATGCTGATTTCCCAGTCCTTAAAATACTAATTACACATTTCAACTGTAAAACAGTAGGCAAAGAAGTGGGGTTTTTTCTAGCATTTCTTGGTTCAGGCTTTCTTTGAAATTCACAGGAGCTGTCTATAACATTATTTTCTCATAATAATTTTAAATGGCTTTTAGAAATCTGAGGAAAGCGGAGGATTTTCTGACTATTTCTCATAAATTACATTCCTATGTCACAGACAAATGTGTTGTAAATAAGTACAGCTCTGCTGATTAAAGCAGCATTGTCTGTGCTGCTGTTGAAGTATGAAACGACTTGACTAGATTGGTGTCATGCCACTGGTGGAAGACAGGGAGCTAACCAATACTTGTGCAGCCAGCTGAAAGGCCTAAATAGGTACGTTGCTTTAAGTCGCAGAAAGACCCATCATTTATTTTCATTGTATTTAGTGAAATACAGCCAGGCTCTCAGTGAACAGGACTAGTCTCCTCTGT